AAATTCTAAAAGTAGGTCACAGTGACCTACTTTTTCTTAAAAATGTTTTAAGGTCCCATGATGCAGCAACTTACAAGATTTGATGATTCTAACCCTTTCAGTGCCTGAAATAATGGGATTAAATGTTTTAAAAAGGATAAGTCATAAAGTTCAAAAAGTAGGTCACGGTGACCTACTTTTAAGTTGACGTTGTTCAAGGACCCAAGATGCATCAATTGACTAAGTTTGATGATCATAGGCCTTAAAGTATCCAAAATATGCCTTTAAATCAATTTGAAAACAAATGCCCGCAACTAAGATGCATCAACTTACAAGATTTGATGATCCTAGTCCTTATAGTAAGCAAAATATGAACATTTTTATTAATTGTAAATTTAGGTCAACTTTAAAGTGACCTTGAGACCACGCCCTTTGCCCCAGGGTCATGCCTTGAACAATTTTTAATCTTCAACATATCCTGATCCTTGTATGTAAATTTGGTGAAAATCTGCCTGGTGGTTCTGGAGAAGAAGATTTTTAAGCAACCAGTACTTTTGGTTTTGTTTTCCTGATTATCTCCCCTTGTATCAACCCTTATTTTAGCATAAATGGTAGCCCTTGGGCCAAGGATACCCTATGACAAATTTGACACTGATTGGCCAAGGGGTTCTTGAGTTATGGCCCATATTCTAAAAAGTTAATGCACACCGCACACCACACGACGCACATCGCACAAATGGCCATAGCATTAGCTCTTTGAGCCTTTGGCTCAGAGGAGCTAAAAACATTCATTTGATTTTTCTGAGTATACATGCAAGTATATGCAAAGACATTGCATATAATAAAGTAAGTACAATAGGTATTTCCATTGTATTTCAAATAGTTGTAATATAACATGTATAATGTGTTCAAGAAAAATGTCAGTCTACAAACATCTTGGTCAAATTGGTAAAATTAAAATATCCATGGCAAATGTAAATCCTTAATATTTAGTTGAAGCTAAGGCCATTCCAAGTTTTTTCTCTGTTTAGTGTCCACCCATCTTTCAAAAACTACCTATTTGCTAAACACACAGGTACAAAAAAAAAACAAGAGGCCCATGGGCCACATCACTCACCTGAGAAGCTTTGACCATTCCGTTCTTTACCAGATTTCCCCATGTAATACATATTGTGATCCCACCCTACCCAACTGATCATAATTTAAACAATTTGAAATCTACACTACCATAGAATGCTTTGATTCAACATTGTAAAACTTTGATTTCCCCTTGTGACCCCGCCCTACCCCCCGGGGTCATGATAAGAACAATTTAGAATCTACACTATCCCTGGATGCTTCCACATAAGTGTCAGCTTTTCTGGCCCAGTGGTTCTTGAGAAGAAGATTTTCAAAGATTTTTCCTATATATTTCTATGTTAAACTTTGATTCCCCATTTTGGCCCCGCCCAACCCCCAGGGGTCATGATTTGAACAATTTAGAATCTACACTACCCCAGGATGCTTCCACTTAAGTTTCAGCTTTTCTGGCTCAATGGTTCTTGAGAAGAAGATTTTCAAAGATTTTTCCTATATATTTCTTTGTAAAACTTTGATTCCACATTGTGGCCCTGCCAAACCCCCGGGGGTCATGGTTTTAACAAATTTAGAATCTACCCTACCCCAGGATACTTCCACATAAGTTTCAGCTTTTCTGGCTCAGTGGTTCATGAGTAGAAGATTTTCAAAGATTTTTCCTATATATTGCTATGTAAAACTTTGATCCCCCATTATGGCCCCGCCCGACCCCCAGTGGTCATGACTTTAACAATTTAGAATCTACACTACCTCGGGATGCTTTTCCTCATAAGTTTCAGAATTTTCTGGCCCAGTGGTTCTTGAGAAGAAGATTTTCAAAGATTTTTCCTATATATTTCTTTGTAAAACTTTGATTCCACATTGTGGCCCTGCCCAACACCCGGGGGTCATGGTTTTAACAATTTAGAATCTACACTACCCCAGGAGGCTTCCATATAAGTTTCTGCTTTTCTGGTCCAGTGGTTCTTGAGTAGATTTTTAAAGATTTTTCGTACATATTTCTATGTAAAACTTTGATTCCCCATTGTGGCCCCACCCTATCCCTGGGGGTCATGATTTTAACAATTTAGAATCTGCACTACCTAAGGATGCTTCCACACAAGTTTCAGCCTTTCTGGCCCCGTGGTTCTTGAGAAGAAGATTTTTTAGTGACCCAACCCTATTTTTGTCTTTTCCTGATTATCTCCCCTTGTGAGGGAACTAGGCCCTTCATTTTCATAATTTAAATTCCTCTTCACCCAAGGATGCTTTGTACCAAGTTTGGTCAAAATTGGCCCAGTGGTTCTTGAGAAGAAGTCGAAAATATGAAAAGTTTACAGATGGACAGACAGACGGACGGACGGACAGCTAGACAGACAGATGGATGGACGACGGACAAAATGTGATCAGAAAAGCTCAATTGAGCCTTCGGCTCAGGTGAGCTAAAAAAATAAAACACATATTTTATAGTAATATATTAAAATGACCTAATTCAAAAGATATGATTTCATTTATCTATTTTTCATAAAGAAAGTTATTTTCCTCAGCAAAATTAAGGCATTAAATACTAAAACTATTCCAATAATGAAATACATGTATTATACAAATATTCAGAGATATTGCTGGAAATCAAAAATTTTGACCTGAATAATAAATTTTCGAACTCCCTTTTCTGATTGTTTTTTTCTGACATGGGGTGTCAAAAACCAAGGCATACGCAGACATTAAACATAAAAACAAGAGGCCCACGGGCCACAGCACTCACATGAGCACATCAGCTAGGAAAAAGCACATATCAGATCAGAACTAATAGTTTACTAAGGTGGGGGGGGGGGGGGGGGTTGGGGGGCTTGAATTTTAACCCCCCAGGGTTTCAAGATTTGAACAAACTAGAATCTACACTACCTTAGGATGATTCCATATAAATATCACTAATCATGGCTTTGAATACTTGAAAAGGAGATTTTAAAAGGTTTCCCTATATATCCCTATGTAAAACTTGGGTCAGCCATTTTGGCCCCATCCTGGTCCTGGGGGTCATAATTTGAACAAATTTGAATCTACACTACCTGAGGATAATTTTACATGAGTTTCATCTTTCCTGTCTCAATTGTTCTTGAGATTTTTAAAGATTTTTCCATTATATTCCTATCTAAAACTTGGGTCGGCCATTTTGCCCCCCCCCCCCTCCCCCCTAGCCACGGGGGTCATTATTTGAACAAACTTGAATCTACACTACCTGAGGATAATTTTACATGAGTTTCATCTTTCCTGTCTCAATGGTTCTTGAGAATAAGATTTTTAAAGATTTTTCCTATATATTCCTATGTAAAATTTGGGTCGGCCATTTTGGCCCCACCCTAGCCGCAGGGGTCATTATTTGAACAAATCTGAATCTACACTACTTAGGATGATTCCACATTAGTTTCATCTTTCCTGGCACAGTGGTTCTTGAGAAGAAGTTTTTTCAACAGTTTTCCTATGTATTCCTATGTAAAACTTGGGTCGGTCATTTTGGCCCCACCCTAGCCTCGGGGTTTATTATTTGAACAAACTTGAATCTACACTACCTGAGGATAATTTTACAAGAGTTTCATCTTTCCTGTCTCAATGGTTCTTGAGAATAAGATTTTTAAATTTTTCCTATATATTCCTATGTAAAAGTTGGGTCGGCCATTTTGGCCCCACCCTAGCCCCGGGGGTCATTATTTGAACAAATTTGAATCTACACTACCTTAGGATGATTCCACATTAGTTTCATCTTTCCTGGCACAGTGGTTCTTGAGATTCAGAGAAGAAGATTTTTAAAGAGTTTTCCTATATATTCCTATGTAAAACTTGGCCATTTTAGCCCCACCCTGGTCCCAGGGGTCATGATTTGAACAAATTTGAATCTACACTACCTGATGATGATCCCACATGAGTGTCATCTTTCCTGGCCAAATGGTTCTTGAGAAGGAGATTTTTAAAGATTTTTCCTATATATAAAACTTGGGTCAGCCATTTTGGCCCCACCCTTGCCCCGGGGGTCATGATTTGAACAAACTTGAATCTACACTACCTTAGGATGATTCCACATTAGTTTCATCTTTCCTGGCCCGATGGTTCTTGAGAAGAAGATTTTTTTAAAATGCCATTAATTTTTCTCTATTTCATAATTATCTCCCCTTGGAAAAGGGTGTGGCCCTTCATTTGAACAAACCTGAATCCCCTTTACCCAAGGATACTTTGAAGCAAGTTTGGTTGAAATTGGCCCAGTGGTTTATGAGAAGAAGATGAAAATGTGAAAAGTCTACGACGACGACAACAACGACAACGATTACAACGATAGACAACGGACAAATTTTGATCAGAAAAGCTCACTTGAGCCTTCGGCTCAGGTGAGCTAAAAAAGTGCCACGCCACAGCATGATACGCCCGTCAAATATTGTTCAATAATCATAAATTGGTTAGGATCAATGCAAGAAAATCAGGTAGCCTTGATTAACAGATTGACACAAATTTCAATGATTCAATTTCCATTTCTTATCATACATCTCTAAGAGACTTGCAGTGTAGGGATTGATTATAATAAATACATCATATAACTCTAAACTGGTTGTGTTAGAGCATAACAAATATCCATCTGCAGCTTACTTAAACTTAAATTGTTTATTGCATATTTTATGAAATAATAGAAATGCTACAGTTTAATAAAAAAAATCAAACATAAATTATAATTTCTTCAGACTATAAAATTCTAAGTGAGACATGACTGCTATTTGTTGCATATAAAAATTGAAATATATATATTTTTTTCAATGAACACATGTATAATTAGTTTTAATTATATTATACAATACTAATTTAGTTTTAATCATACACTAAAACATAAATTTGTTTTAATTACATTACACCAATTGGAAGATCTTTATCTGGACTAGCCATCAAGAACTCAAGCAACTATGAGGCCATTTCTTTTTGCCCAACTCCCAAGAGATAAATTAAGATAACAGCTGCATCAGTTCTAGAGATGCTCTTAACTCCTGACAATAAACTCATTCATTTCTCTCTAATTTGACATGCAACTTTCTGTTATCAAAATTCTTCTTGACCAGTGCTTGATAATTATGCCCATGGCACAAACTGAATTCCTCTCAAAGCATAAACATTTATTACAGATTGCTGTAAAGTATATAATGAAAAAATAAGTTTTTACTTAATTTAACATTTTTTAATAAGGATACAACTACATTTTTACATTTTTTAGGATTATGAAATTTAAAATTTAAAAGACTTGGTTTTTAAAAAAAAATCACTTAAATAAAGGTCACAGTGACCTTGAAATAGGCCGCGACACACCTTCTACTTTAGCTGTATACTTTTGCCAAGTTTGAAAGCTCTAGGTCTCATAGTTTTCTAGTTATGAGCCGGACAGGATTTTTCCATATTTGGCTATAGCATCTTTATTAAAGGTCAGATTGACCTACTTTTTGTGCACAACACACCTTCTACCCAAGATGTATCAGCTGACAAAGATTGATAACTTTAGGCCTAATAGTATTAAAGTTATGAGCTGGACACGAGAAAAGCTAACAGACAGACAGACGGACGGACACGAAGCCTATAACATAATACGTCCCGTCTTAAGACGGGCGTATAAAAATTGGAATGGCCTAATCAGTATTTTGGTGTTAATAAGTGTACTTTATCTTTCAACAAAAATATGTACATGAGCGGTATTATAAAGTTCATAAAAAATGTCCTAGCAAATTCAAAAGGACAATGTAAAGCCCTCTCTCTTTCAGTTTCTGTCACAAAATAGACTGTATATGATTTCTCTACAATTACTCAAGATGAGATAAAATCCATGCGTGGATATCGTGACTTTTGATTATTGTTATCCCATACGAGTCCAACAGCTACGTGGTAGGGCTGCCGCAGTCTGGATTTGAATTGAGGATTCTTCAAAATCTGTAATGAGGAGATTATACATTTCAAAGGAGTAGGACCAATATTCTTCAGAGTTTATTATCTATGATTTTATCAGAAAGAAATCTGTTATAACAGAAATAGCACAGAGACTATCATTTATGATAATTAAATATAATTTTATAAAATGATTATAATAATAAATATACAATGTAAATGCATTTTGAATCTACAAGTGGTTTCAAATCATTACAAATAGCCTTGATTTATTAAACAGTTTCAAAAACTGCAGTACATTTCACACATTTCTCGACATCTTTCTCAAGATGAGTCATTCGATCATTCAACATAACTGCATTTCAAAGCAAAAATTGCAATAAAGCTAAACAACTTGATCTCCTTTAAATTTGAAATATGTAGAGTTTAAACTTACTTGAGGCATATACTGTTTATATTGCCATGCAGTGTTGAAAGAGCACTCTTCTGAAAAAAAAGATAGGTACATGTATTCATGTATAATTATAAAAATTTGATAATTTCTGAATGAAATATCTTTGATAATTTTTAAAATCATTGCTGTTAAGTAAGATTCATATATTGTAAATATTCATTTCTTAAAACTAAATTTTTCAAAATAAAGATTTGCTTTGCAAATTTGAGGAAGATCTTAGCATATTACGAATTATTTATGTTTGTAATTTGGTGGTATTATGTCACAATGCTACTATATTTATCTACTTTTTGATCCAATTTCATGGGCTTTTTATAACAGATGAAACAAAAAATTAATGCATCATTTTTATTTTCAAACCTTTAAATTCCTTTTTTTTTTATTTGAATACATGTATTTATACAGGGATTCACTTTAATTTCAAAACTAATTTGTTTAAAATTCAAATAACATAGTTTGAAAGCACAATGACATGTACGTCCTGCTACTTACTTCATGTACTTACTTCGGCCTGTCATTCTATGAGGAACATAGGCCATCGACGACAGTCCTCCAACGAACTCAATTCGGAGCTGCTTTAGCTGCATCCTGCCTTGTCATATCCTGTGTTTTTAACTCTGACTCCGAGTCAAGCCTCCAGGTGTTTCTAGGACATCCTCTCTTCTACAATAATATTAAATTGTGTAAAACTGCACAATTTTGCTTCATATGCATGCACCATGGATATTTTTTTTCTGGAATAACTATACATGAATCAATATTAAAATCCTTTTGGTTTCCTTTTATTTCTTTTTTTTATTTATTTTATTTCTCCTTGTTTAATTGAATGAACATGAATTTGAGGGTAGTCATACCTTATTTTAAGAATGTAAAATATTTGCTATATTTTTGTACAGTGTATTTTAAAATATATCTAATTATCACTCAATTTTAAATTTTTCTGCAAATAGCTATAGCAATATTCTTAATTATAATAAAAGTATTCAAAATTGCACAGTCCAGTCCAATACGAAAATTCGTAATATTACAAGAAACCGTAATATTATGAGAAACTGTAATATTACAAGTTATCGTAATATAAAATTTATATTAGAATTTTTCGTAATGTAGTTAAATTAGGAATACGCGTAAATAGCAGATGTAAGAGACTATATTACGAGTTTTCGTAATCTAAGACAAATTCAAGCATTGAAAGAAATTGAGTGGTGGGTAGCAAAGTATGACGTCATTAATATATATCAGATTCCACGGCTTCTGATAGCACGTGGTCAGTTTGGTCAGTTACGCCTATCACAAAGCATGGAAATTCAAGAAGAAAGTACCGCCAGCGATGGGTGACTGGACAATTTCTTTTATATTCTTTTATAGGAATTTTCCCAAGGATAAGACCAATTCCCTTACCAAAATGAAATGTTTGCTGCAAGTTTGCGGCAAGCTTGCAGCAAGTTTGCGGCAAACAAATCTATGTACCAGAACAGTATGCCAGAAGTGTGCAGTAAATGCAGCTAGCAGCACACAGTATGCCACTTGCGGTTCATTGTGTGCTGCTAGGGGCACATATGTACTTCTAGTGGCACATTAAATGATCTGATGCACATATGTGCCAGAAGTATGCCACAATTTCCCTTAGATGCCTTTTATATATATAGTGTGCCAGAAGTGTACCAGAAATGTTTCTTTTAACTATCAAAATCACTGTGTGCCAAAAGTGTGCCATAAAGACCTTTAGGAACGACTTGTCTGTTGCGTTACAGACCTATCTAAGAACGGCTTATCAGTTCACATCCGGTTTGGAAGTTTGCGCCAATTTTAAACCACCTGGGTCATGACTCATGACAAGAACAAAGAGAAAGGAGAAAACAGCAACATAGACCTTGGATAAAGAGAGAATGTGAGTATTTTAAAAAAATTGTATAACTCTGATGTCTTTTTAACATAGAAAAAGACTTGACTGTATTTGCTGAGCCAGTTCAGTTAGAATTTTTACAGTCCTTGTTCATAACAAATTGGGTCGATATAGTATATGTTTTTATTTTTTGTTCTATATATCCAGATGAACTGATGATGAATCAGTAAAACCTCTACAAAGAATAGATCAAAAGGGCATTTATCTGCAGGAAAGGATTCTGCTAACTAAGATATGGACTATATGCACAGGGGCTTGTCACGAAATATTTATCTTCTTTTAAAAAAGTTACCCCTACTATATAAAAATACACAAGGGAGGAATCTAAAAATAGGAAATTCGCTACCAAAAATTTTGACCGGACCTTTTATCTTGTTTCTGGGCGACTTTCGTTGCCGACCAACAAGGAGTGAGTGGAGTATAGATTCAATTTTAATATTCTTCAGTCAAATTCTAATCAACGCGTACCGTTAGTCATATAACTAACCTCTTTTCTCGATATTTGGATCTGGCGACAGTTCTTTCCATATGCGTCAACTGAAAGCACTCTCTGATTGGTTGCTTTCTGTAGATAACTCGTACACAAAATATAAACTGTAAGGATTGACATGCTTAGTGAATGATATTTAACATGTTTATATAAATAAATATAACCAAATATTGTAAAATACGTGCAATGAAACCACAGCTGTATTGTTCAATGCCATCATGACAGTTTGAGTTCCCCTCTGTTTTGGTGCACTAAAAAAAGAGCTTCTTTGTGTACGAGTTATTTACAGAAAGCAACCAATCAGAGCCTTGCATTCAATTTACGCCGGAAATTCATATGGAAAGAACTGTCGCCAGATCCAAATATCGAGAAAAGAGGTTAGTTATATGACAAACGGTACGCGTTGATTAGAATTTGACTGAAGAATATTAAAATTGAATCTATACTCCACTCACTCCTAGTTGCTCCGCAACGAAAGTCGCCCAGAAACAAGATAAAAAGTCCGGTCAAAATTTGTGGTAGCGAATTTCCTATTTTTAGATTCCTCCCTTGTGTATTTTTATATAGTATGGGTAACTTTTTTAAAAGAAGATAAATATTTCGTGACAAGCCCCTGTGCTATATGTAAGTAATCACAATTAAGAATTAGGTACATATTCAAATGTTTATGTCATATAAACAAATGATTAAATACACTTTACATTCTATAATTTGTCAAAGAAGCATGTAGTTTTATTTAACAAAGTGTTGTTTTTGAATTTTAATATGATTTTAATGCATACAAAACAAGATACAAATGTGGGATCTCTAGGTCAAAATTAGGTTTAATTCATTGCTTAAATAAATACTGGTTTCAATGACTGCAATGCGAGTAATTAATCTCTCTATCTTTTTAACAGGTACTTGCATAATGTTGGAAAGGAAGCCCCCCCCCCCCAAATCATGAAAAGATAGTTGAAATGTCAGAGTGAATTTGAAGTACCAAGAAAGTAGTTAATAAATATTCCTATCAAATGTGTCGCCCGCATGGTTAGAGTGTCTGCCCTCGAGTCACGAAGTAAGGAGTTGAATTCCACTGTGGATCCTTCGGATGAGACTGTATAAACTGAGGCCCCATGTTGCAGTAGGTGATGATAAAAAAAGATCCTCCCTGCTCAATGGCCCTGAGTGCCAATTAATGTAGTATAGGACAAAATTTGCAGCTCTCCCACGGCAGATGTTGGCATCTTCATATAAGTGAAAAATTCTCATGAGGGACTTTAAACAATATACAATCAATCAATTAATGGGAAATGCAACGGATAACTCTTTCAACATGACATGGATTCTTCAAGGGGATTATGTTGTTGTTTTTTTAAAAGTGATAGAATCAAGACACTGAACAAATTGTCGCCTTTACTGTGTAAATAATACTGTGAGATTAAATTTTTCAAAATACCTTATATGTTTTTATTCATATTGTGCAGCACTATTACTTTGATATGTGCAGTTGAAATTCATTGTAAGAGGTGAATCTTTTCTTTGATGTAAAATGTTTTGTGATTGTTGTTAACTACAAACCCTCTATTCATTTTGCATAATGACCAATGTAAATTTGTGCCATTATATTTCTCAAAGGTTGTTTATTTATTTTTTTTTAAATCTGTTTTTTTCTCTATCTGATGTATACATACAGTGTAACTGTTCAATCAACAGATTTTGTTCTTGTACTGTGCAAGTTTTTTTTAAACATTAATATTATAGTTAGTGTTATATTTTCATGTACCTGGTACCTTTTTTACCTTGAAATTTTCATAAATAATTTTTAAAATGGCTTGAATGTTCTTTTTTTTCATAGTACATGTATTACATGTTGCTGTCATGTTTAATCACGTTCTTTTAAAATTAATTTGTTTAGGTAAGGTATATTAACTTATGGAATTGTATATGTCAGAAATGTGCCACAAGTGTGTGCCACAAATTTGCAGTTAACTATATGCCAGAAATGTGCCGCAAGTGTGTGCCACAAACTTGCAGTAAACTATATGCCAGAAATGTGCCACAAGTGTGTGCCACAAATGTGCCAGAACTTTGCCGCAAATATGCCGCAAACTGTGTGCCAGAAAAAAATTTGCATACGAAAAATCTATTTGCGGCAAGTTTGCCGCAAATATTTGCCGCAAGGTTGCGGCAACTTTGCAGTAAACTTGCTGCAACTATGTGCCAGAAGGCTTTTATTTTGGTAAGGGTTTTCCAGTAAATTTCAATATTCGCTTAAGCATGTCGCATTGGTCTATATCACCCGAACTCCCTACTTTTCTTGCAAAGTCTACCCTAAAAATCACACCCTCATCTCATAATTCAATTGTTCGTGCAATTCTTATTGAAATACACAGAATTCAAATCTCAGTAAGAGTTCGTACAAGTTATCGCCCGTAACATCTCGTATTAAACGTCATACTTTGCTACCCGCCACTCAATTTCTTGCAATGCTTGAATTTGTCTTGGATTACGAAAACTCGTAATATAGTCTCTTACATCTGCTATATTACGCATATTCGTAATTTAACTACATTACGAAAAATTGTAATATAAGTTTTATATTACGATAACTTGTAATATTACGCTTTATCGTAATCTTACGTTTTTTCGTAATATTACAAATTTTCATATTGGACTGCACTGTTGCAGTGATGAAAAAAAAATATTTTTATGGGGAAAAATACTTTTTTCAAGGTGTCTTTATATCTTTCATATTTCTTGACACCCTTGTACATGCAAGAGTTTCTGTATAAACAATGTCAATACTAAACCATGAATGACTAGTAATTAGTAAAGTACAGTGAAGGTGTAATGAATCAATGACACTTAATTTATATGTATATAACATACAAAATATAATTTATTTATATTATATTAATTATATTAATTAAAAATAATGTTCAACCTTGGATATTGTTCATTAAAACTCATCTTATACCGATGTATTATATTTTTTCGATATCTCACCCCCTTTTGGCCGATTTCAAAGCTCTATAAAAAATTGAAATTTTGTCTCAGGCCTTCGGAAAAAATTGCCTAGCATCCAAATCATCTCCACCTGAGACCACAAAAATTACAGTACTGAAATATGCCGCATATAACCGGGGCAATGCAAAACATGACCGACCTCCTAAGTGCAGGAAGCGTTTCCTTCGGCCACGTGGTTTTGACAACATTGTGTAAATATGCAACTTACGTCATTAAAGTGGAAATCAAAGATAAAATACTTGTTTATGGTCAAAAAACATTACCTTGGGGTCTCTTCTGCACTCCTAGGTACACTTGTTACAAAGCAGGTAAATTATACGCGGCGATTATATTCGCTGCATCGTCAGCTGCGGAGCTCGATTCGGCCATTGTTTTTGTGACGTCAGCTCCCAATGTTTGCCCCCAGTCCAAGATGGCGGTTAATAACCTTAATAGGGTCTATTGTATATGAAAAATACCAAACAAATAAATATTCCCAGGGAATGAATGTGGCTTTCGAGAAAAATAACGAAATGGAAAAAATAAAGAACTAAGTTAGAAAAATAAAGAATTAATAATCAAAATTTAGTCAGGGGAAATAGGGTGAGGCAACTCCTGATATTTACCTTGATACAAGGTTTGGCTCAGCAGAAACCAAGAGCACGGCGGTGCTCGAGTTTAAATACTGTTGTTAACAATAGAATGAAAGTAAAAGTTAGCCGTAATGTGATTTGATAATAAATTTAGAAGTAACCAATGAAAAGTCTCGGAATTAAATACGCTTGGAAATAAAAGATAACTCGATCTCTTCCGGTTTCATGAATAAACAATTCGAATACGAAGATAAAGAATTTACCTCAAGAAGTAAGTTAAAAAGGCTTGGTAGGTTTTACATTTTAACATAGTTCGATAGTCATTATAAATACGAGTAAAATGATTTACAGCACATATACTATATCTCTCTAGCTGATTAGAGATATTACTAAAAATAGCTTAGTTTACACATGTGAGCTCGCGCTGAATTTAGCTGTTTACCGGAAGTGTCGTATGTGACGTCACAAGTGTGACATGCAGAATATTGTATACCCTAAAATGAAGAGCGAACTAGCATTAGGTCATGTAAAATTTTAAAATCAAACGCCTTAAACGCATGCAGGCAGTAAGTTAGTTTTATTTATTGATTACTAGGCCTAATTTCATTTCTGGCAAAAACAATATAGTTCCGGACTACATGTATAAATATTGTAATTAAATGGTTTGATTACCCCTCCCCCTCACCCAACACCCCCCATTTCTTGGAGGGGGGATGCGCAAGTTTTTATCACTACGGAAAGGGACGCCTTTCAAAAATTAATTCCGATTTTTTTCTTTATTCTCTCTTAATTTTTTAAAATTTATTATTTTATTTTTCGTTTCGATTTTGCTTTCTCCATTTTTGTTTTTACACATTTAATTTACTAAAAATTTCTTTTTCAGTTCGACCATAACTTTGAGAACACTGGTACAATCAATGAAAATTTGATATTTGAAAGCTGTGCACCCCGTTTCTTAGTGTTGAGGTAGACCTACAGTGTACCTCAATTTACACTGCGATTGTATTTAATCACTGCTTACCTGTATATTTACGCTTGTGAACACTTAGTAATATTAGCGTTGACTTCCTTTTTTTAATCTCTGTAAAATAACCTTGAAAAAGCCATTTCCCACAAATGAAGTTCCTTTCTATACCTGTCTGTTTACTGCATATGATTTTATTTTTTTTTATTTCAATCAGGAATGAAAGAAATTTCGACATTTTTATTTTAAGATTTACCCACCCTGTCATAACCTGACTATAAGAATGAAAAATTAAATAGGATTTAAAAAAAATAACTACGTTTTTTTTTCATAAAATCCTAAAATCATCATTAATTTGTGACTTTATTAATTCTATCGGGGGGGGGGGGGGTTAATTATGGCGTACACACATCACTTGGAGCTCCTTGG